TAGGAATAGAGAATTTGCAGTATCCTTCCCCTTGAGTGGGTGGGAATAGAGATTTTGCAGTATCCTTCCCCTGGAGTAGAGTGGGAATAGAGATTTTGCAGTATCCTTCCCCTGGAGTGGAGTGGGAATAGCGATTTTGTAGTATCCTTTCCCTGGAGTGGAGTGGGAATGGAGATTTTGCAGTATCCTTCTCTGCCATGCCTACCAAGCCACACCACACCCACCAATCCACGCCCACAGAACTGGTAGTAAAAAAAAATTGAATTTCACCACTGAATATGTGGTAACTGTAATTCTTTGTTTATGGTTTGCCTACTCTATTTTTCAATGATTTAAATGATTATTGTCTATATTTTTATAATGATTGTTTTTATTTTGTGGTTTTACTTGATGATTGAATGCTGCTCAGAGTTGCATAGTGGTGACACAGGTGGCTATATAAGTTGGATAAATACTTTTTTTTAAAAAAAGTAGTTAATATCTACTGATGTTTACCACTATGGATGACAGCCTGATTTTCTTCACTTTCTTCCTGATTAGGAATTCCCTTTGGCGGTTATTAGAAGGCCTCAATGCCATTGTGGGTTTGCAACAATTAATTTCCCACTGCATAATGGTTCTGACAGATCGTTTTGCAGCAGGCTTGAAAATGTCAACACTACGGCTGAAGTTTTAAATGCAGGAGACCATCGCTTTGTTTATCAGACTCCAGTCCAAGGTAGGAGAGAGTGCATTGAGACCTACATTGCTCATACTCATATCATCTATCATCATATTAATATTTATATAGTAAATACACATACAGACAAACACCCAGGGATGGAGGAAGGAAGACAGAAATTTGATTTGTTTCAAAAACATGCTAGAACAATGTTTCCCAACCATAACCATTTTGAGATGTATGTCAGCATTGTTGAAGTTCTTAAATAAGAAATGTGTCATTAAATAAGAGCTGTGGTGGCACAGTGATTAGAATGCAGTACTGCAGGCTAACTTTGCCCTCTGCCAGCAGTTTGATCCTGACCGGATCAAGGTAGATTCAGCCTTGTACCCTTCTGAGGTGGTAAATTGAGGACCCAGATCATTGGGGGCAATATATTAACATTATAAACCACCCAGAGAATGCAGTAAAGCACTGTGGAGCAGTATATAAGACTAAGTGCTATTGCTATTGTCATTCTGGGATTTGAAGTCCATACATCTTAAAATGGCTAAGGTTGGGAAGCATTGATCTAGACTAACACTTCCACATTTCAGCTTCCAGAATTGTCACCAATGGTCATCCTGGCAGGATAATTGCATGAAATAAAGTTCTGGAGATTGCCTGACTTTTGTCATTTCCCCTTATTGCCACTCTTGCAGACACACAGGGATAGATAGATGATAGATAGATCAATG